CGCCTTATGTAACTGCCAAAAATATCATTTCCGTTGCTTTATGACAAAATAATGAGTCTGTCAAAGATGAGTGGTCAGAAAAACAAATTTGTTCTCCCACACAATTAGAGTTTATAGCGTTGGACAGCAATATCAATCTCCAGTGATTCAAAACTGAATTTGCACGTTGGAGGAAAATGTGTTCTTGCGTGCACCGTAACCAGGCTGCTTAGCGGGAAGAGTCCTCGCAGGCTGAACTGGAAAGATGGATATCAGCTGAGCTGTGGAAACATCAGGATAGATGGAAGCTTCCAAATGGAGCCAAGTGGTGTGGGGACATGGCATTCGCTTCCTCAAGCTCAGCGCTGACAGAGCCGTCCCCACAAGGATCAGCAGGCAAAAAAGTCTAGAAAAGTGTCACCAGATATAACAGGCAGAGGACTGCTGCTGTCAGGTGGAAAGCTGTTGCAAGGCCTTCATCTCCCTGCATGTACACTAACTGCTCATGGAGTTGTTGATATTGATAATCATGGACTTCAAACATTCTTTATAAAGACGTACAAAGCCATTTGTTACCATCTCAGATTTAAAGCAGTAACGGCTAGGAACAGCCTTTCAAAGTGAGTGCTTAAAGAAATTACAAGCGGTACCTGTGACTTTCAGTAATAGTTTATCATCATGGATAATCTCATAAGGTAACAAAATATTTCCTTACCTCTGGAGCAGAAAAGAAAGGTAATCTTCCTTAGAAAGAGACGAGACAGATGAAGGACTCCGAAGTGGGGCAGTCTTCCATAGGAAGCTGATGTCCACTCCTGACAGTGATCTGATAGGAGCCCAAGTCAGCTACCGGATCAGTGATGCTCAGCTGGTCCTGTTGTCTGACACGCCTGAGGTCTGTATCTCAGCGCAAGGGTGCTTCTCCCATGGCCCGTCTGGATGGTGCTTTTACCTGAAGTGTCTTCTTCCTACAGCCTTAAATATTTCCATTTTCCTTACTGCTTATCCCGCACATAGAAGTAGCTTTTTATGGTACTCTGGTCCTCTCTGAGCCCCGCTATGCCCATTTACCTCCTTCCTTCATCCCGAGAAGTCTGTCCCTCAAGCCCAGCAGGCATTTCTCTTCTTTACAGAAGTCTCAGATTGTCCATACGCACACTCTGATGAGGTCCCAGGGACAGATTGCCCAATTCCTAGTGCAGCCTTCCTAAAAAACAGAAGCATACAAAATACTATTTCCCTTTTCAGTAAAAAAGCCTCTCCACATACAGCACAGAATTTGGTATTGGTGTGGGTTTCCCCAGACATGGCACCCTCCAAACTTACGGTCAGTGTGCTTTCCACAGATGCTTCTTTGTTCTCTTTCACTTTTAGCACTGTCCGCGTTTTACACTCGTTCACTGTTCAGCCACGTCCTTCATTCGTGGTGGAAATTGTGATGACCTCTGAGGTCTGTGAAGTAACCTCAGCAAAAAATCGGTGCAAGTGAGAGGAGATTCAGAGCCTCTGTGGTTCAGGCTCTGAGCGTTGGTTTTCTCCCTGGGTATAGTTTCTGACACCAACAAGGACTCCAGCTTTTATCTCTTCAGATTCCATTAATCTACAGATTTTTTGTACCTGTAAAACACTAATGATCATCAACCAAACCCAACTCTTACATTGCCTGTACACTAAGAAGGCACACATTGTTGACCTTTGGTGGTTTGAGGGTTTTTTTAAAACGTTTCTTTTTGTGCCCACTTGCACTACCCCTCATTAACTCTACATGTCACATTTTCAATATAAATGTTTTTTCAATATAAGTATTTTTTTACCTTGATCTTTAGCTAGCCTTGTAGAAAACCGCAGTGACCACTTTCGTTCCTTGCTTGCTTCTCCTTGGAAATTGCACACAGCTAGGTTTGAATTATTCCAAGATATTTTAGGAGTATTCAGCAGTGTCAGCTCTTTTTTTACTCCATGCTTAATGTTAGGTTTGGACTATCTATTCTCTGTCCTTTATTTTTTTCAGTGATCAAGTTTGTTGTTTTGTCTTATTCCCTCCTGGAAGGCTATACCTCTCTCCCCACTGCTGGGTTCTGGGCAGGAAAGGAGGGAGGAGGGTTGGTTTTGAGGGGTTTTGTTGTTGTTACTGTGTTTTGGTTTGGTTTTGGTTTTTCTTTTCAATTTGGGGAAGTAGAAAATTTACTCTTTTAAACATGATATTATTTGGAATTTTCTTTTAAGGCAGGATGCAGCATTCTGGGGGATTCTGCTGGGAAGGCTTTCAAAAATACATATAAAACATCCAAATAAGTTGATTTGTGGAGAGGCACTGACTGAATGAATCTGTGACTGCTCTACCAGCCTGTGGCAGGAAGAGCCTTTGAGCAATTCCTCCGTTTAGGAAGCCAAGCGCCCAAGATGCCCCTGCGCTCTCTGGTTTCTGTGTGTTTGTTCAACGTCCACAGCAGGGCTGATTGGTTTAGATCTCAGTTAAAGAGGTTTTAAAAGTTGACAGAAGGTCCCCAACCGCTTCCACAAGAAAACCCATTGTGCTGGTTTGGGGAAAACTTGTTTGATACACACGTGGACCTCCAGAATCTGTGGTTTTCCTTTGTCCGTTGGAGCCTGGGGACCTCCATGGCCAAAGATGCCTTCTGCAGAAGCCCTGCCTGTGGCTGCACTGTGCGAGCCCTGCCGCGTGGGCCACCCAACAGCTACCATGGCACGGTGCCACAGCTCTGGGCTGAGAAGCCCTTCCTCTGCAGAAACCTAAACCTTGTCCTAAGAAATTAAAAACCTGGCCACTAGAACAGGCAGCAGAGCTATTCCATGCTGTCCATGTTCTTTTGTCTGGGAAATAAGGAAAAGGAGGAGGCAGCCTATGAAGAGCTGGGTCACAGTGGAGTTAGGGAATGTGGGAAATGAAAGGAAATTGATATGCATGAGAGCTGAAGGGATTTGTTGGTGTATGCATGTACACATCATGCATGTAAATAGAGGCGTATGTTGTGTGTATAGGGGCAGAGGCATGGGAGAGGCAGGACTGGACAGACACAGAGGGAGATGGAGAAGGCCACAGTCCACACAAGACTTCTAACCATGCAAGCGAAACTGAGAAAGGGTCGCTCTCTCTCCTCAGGAACATATGATGGGTATAGCATCTAAGAAGTGCCAACAGGCTTTGCTCAAGGATTTCTGACACAACCGTTCTTTACTTTCAGGTGCTTTCCACAAGAGCTGTGCACATTCACACCCATCAGCAGACACACATTTATTTTCCCCGCCTCAGTTCCCTGCCAGTCTGCAGCGCCCTTTCAGAGCCTGAGGAGCTACAGCTATTCCTCAGACTCAGCTGGCTTGGTCTTCCTGCCCAGATGAGTTTGCTGCCTCTGCCACTGATGGGTCCCTCCAATAAAACAAATCTCCCCCAGAGGAAATCCAGTTGGCTCCTCTCTCTCACTTATTCTAGTGACTCCACAGTCTGTCCTGCCTCTTTCTCTTCTCACTCTCTATTTTTTGTCCCTGTCATTATTGTGCATCGCTCCTCTTTGGGAGTCTTCCATTTTCATTTTCCTGTGGACAGTAAAACCACCCATTACTTTTCTTAATAGCAGTGCCATTTACCAAAATCTCCCGTCTCTACGTGAATAGGCCTATCTCATCCACTGACACCCAGACAGGCATCTTTCATTCTGCACCGGCTGTTCATTGAAAATTGACTTCACAATTGATGTAGCCTTTAAGCATCAATATTTTGGAAATTATATAAAAAGTGAAGACACTTTTTGCCTAGCATATTCAACACCACTTGGTAATTTCAATTTTAAAAGTGCTGAACCTATTTTTCTTTAGAACAAGCAGTGCTCAGTTGAGAGTCTCATCTGCCTCGTTTCTAGCATTGAAGGCTCCACCATCTAGGGTGTTACAGCTGCTGGTGGGTTTTCTCCAGCAGCCACTTACGACAGTCGCAAGTTTGTTTTACCCTGGGGATATATATGTATGTGGCCGGTTGCTTCAGGTCATATTCCTGCCAACTGGAACTCAGCCTGACAGCTGTTAATTTGCACTCGGCCATTCCGTGTGTTGGTTTGCTCTAATTACCGGTCACTGTATGGAACAGGTGACAAATGCCCACATGAGAACCCTTTAGATCACTAGAGGTACAATCATTAGGAAAACAAACAGACAGGGTCGTGAAATACCAGTTTTCTCTCCATCCCCCAACAGAAAAAGATTTTAGCTGGTTTTGACATCTGCTGGGAAGAGACGGAAGGAGGTGACAATACCTTACTGTTCAGAAAACTAGCTTCCCCTTCTGTGAGTGTCCTAGTTTCAGGGAAAAAAAAAAGAAAAATACAATTGTTCTGAGATGAGATGCAGAATCTGGTTTATCTAACGATTCTGTCGCAAGCTTCGATTAGGTGTTCTTTCCTAAGTAAAACCAAATGCGCCTTCCAAAATACTTCCTCTGACCTTCAGCTACCACAACTATATCAAATTAAAGCAGGCAAGACCTTTTCCTTTCTGAGCAAGAGTGTACTTGCTGAACAAGAATGGCAAAATACCATTGTATTGAGCTCCCCTTCTACTAAAGTGTAGCGCTGCAGAGGAGATTTAATTGAAGTCTCTTTTCTCAGACTCCCAGGACCTAATTTGGATCTTAATTTGGGCCAGATTCTCTAAGGACATAAGCTTTTTTTGTTCCTGTGAGAAGTAACTCTTGAATTTTTGCAAGATTACAGACCTGTCTGTGGTGAAAATTATGAATAATTTAGTTGATCTCAGTGGAGCTGTGTTAGTAAAAACAAGAAAAGATTCAGCATTTTGGAGTCTTGGTGAAATTACTGCTTTTAGAGCTGTGCAAGCTCAAGGTACTACCTGATGCTACTGATGTCTTGTAAAACACGCTAGAACAATAGTACAGGCACAACACACAGGAATGGAGTGAGTGCTTTACTGAGACTGAATCTGAATTTAAACTCACCTTTAAATAACGTCCCACCTTTTTTTCTATCTTTTTTGCCTTTTAAAAATAGATGTAAGTGCAACCTTCACGCTACTGGCTGTAAAGAAGAAAACAAAAGACTACTTTGTGAATGTGAACATAACACCACTGGCCCAGACTGTGGAAAATGCAAGAAGAATTACCAGGGCCGGCCGTGGAGCCCTGGCTCTTATCTGCCTATACCCAAGGGCACTGCTAATATCTGTAAGTAGTTCTGTACAACAAGGCTATTTCATTATGAGAATTCTGCCCCGTGTCGGGACTCTGAAGGAAGATTAATTCTGGCAAAAGTTTGACATTTCTTTACGATCCAGTGCATATCATTTGACAAGGTGTCAAATCGTGTTAATTGTAAGTATACATCGTCTGTGCTCTTACATGGTTGGGAATAACTTGCATGGGAACAGCATGTGTGTATCCATACACAAATCCCTGGGCACTGCACAGAACGGGCTAGGCAACAAAAAAATTAGAGACCCCTTCACGTAAAAAGCACACGCAGAGGAAAGAAACCAGTGGGGATATCTGCAGTACTGTTCCAGCCATGGCACCCCCAGCTCTCCATCCATATATCCTTGCCTGGAGATTCCAAACAACCTCAGCTCTGTGTGTGAGATTAGGTCCTTGCTCGGTTTCTATCCATTTAAGACAGTTAAAAATTCTCGGACAAGTGTTTGCAATCTGTAACTCTCCAAAGGCTGGCAGAGGAGGTTTGTACCTGGTGCTGACCCGCAGTCCCGACTCCCATGCACTCTTAGAACACTGCGAGTGCTGAAGGGGGAAAGCAAGGGCAAGCCCTGAGGTTTTATATCTCCTGCTGCCAGCTATTAGCCGTTTGACAACACCCAGGCTCACTGTGCCAGCGCGCTTTCACATGATCCAAAGGCAGTTACTGACAGACTGGGTTGAAAAGAACATGGTGCTTAAAGAAGGGGCACGAAGACAAGTGTGAGCATCAGTTCTTCCTTTCATACATGTATGAGATACACGATGATTCAAAATCCTCCTGAACTGAGCAACAGACAAATCCTTTGTGGAAAGGATTTAAGAAGAGGAGGATAAACCACCAAACCTTTTGACAGAAGTTACTTGTTGCTTTTAAGAAAAAGTCCACAGTTTTGCTCTGATTAAAAGCAAAACATTCATTTTGGAATATCACACTATAACAATTTACTGAGAAGTTATTTGGGAGAAACCGAGCTACATACTGCAGCTGAGTGAAAAGGTTAAAACCAGGAGCAATATGCAATGCTCAGAATGTTATCTAAGACTTCAAAGCAGCAGCTGTGAAGAATCAAAACTCAAAAATGAATATCATAGGCAGCAGGACCTTATCAAGTTAAATGTGAGAGTAATAGACCAAGTAACAAACCGTGAAGTGTGGGGGCATGAAATTATGATAAAATTCTTACTGAGCAGGAAAAAATGAACTTCCAAAAAGCAGGGGAGAAAACATTTTGTAAGAGTATTCACTTTTTCACGTTATAAAAAGTGAGTGTGGCTCACAGAATTAATACTTGAAAGCTGTTTGGAAGGTGAGATTTACCAGGTTGGTTTTATTTATATATTTGATATATAGACACGTACATTTTTTGTATATATATCCATAATGTCTGTGTGTGTGTATATATATTTTTATATATGTATATAGAAAAATGCAGTTGCTACCCCAGCAATCATCTGAGCTAGGGACAAGATACATCTGGACATGAAAACCGTGATCTTCCTAAGCACAGCTTGCTCTGTCAGCTACATCATTTCCAATCAGTTGAGCACACAGCAGAGGGAACAGTGGAATTAGCGCCCACCAAAAGGATGCCTGAAGCTTGTTAAAACAACTTTCAGCATTGTTGAATTCCATCAGATACACAGTTCCATCAGAAATCAGAACCATTTGCAAATAACAGGGAGTCTTTTCTGGCTTTTCCATTGCTATGATAGCATCATGAAAACGTAACCTTGTTCGAGCTGACGGAGGCTCCACTTACACTCAAATCCTGATTCCGCAGTGAGCAGCAGCAGGTCTTTATGGCAAACAGGAAGGAGTACGGTGAATGTAGAAGGAATTCTTCTTTGCCTTGCCAGCTGCCAGTGATGAACTGGCTTTGTGAGCTGGACCCGTCGCATCCGCAGTGGTTACGAGCTGCTGCGTGGAGACTCTGTTGTCATTAGCTTGAGCCCAGTGACATCTTATGGCAGTACATTTCACATTTCAATGATCCAGTGAGTGAAGGATACTTCTTTTCGTTTGCTTTAACTGTTTTTATTTGGTGAAGCCGCTACCTCCTCAGATAGGAAGAAACAGAGAGTAAAGCACCCCAATTTACCTCTGTTACACCCTTTATCTTCGTATATACTTGACATGTCCACTCCTCCAGACTATTTTCTAAATGATGAATGAATCCTAATCTGCTTAATCTTACCCAATGTAAATCTGTGCCACATCTCTGCTCAGCTGCGCTTTCTTGCTCCCTTACGGTTCTATGATGTCATCTTTTTCTTCGGTGAGGCTAACGCTGTACGTGATATCCTAGACCTGTAAACAACATGGATCTTCTACTGTAGCATAAAAAGGTGTCTGCTTTGTATTTCGTTACGACATGCATCAGCCCTTGAGTCCTTTTGAAAACGGTGTCGCAGCTACAACATTTCTTCTGGCATCAAGGCTGACGTGACAGGTTATATGTTACAGTAGTTAGTTCAGAAATGTCATCTTTGAGTTCCTTTAAAACACTTCTTGGGCGAACATCAAGGAATGGCACTTGTTACTGTTTGATATTATTTGCGTCTTCTGAAACACCTTCAGGTGATGACAGACATTGAGAAACTTCCTCGGGTTGTGAGAACCTCTCTAACCTTCTTTGTTGTGAACATCGGCGAGAACAACTGAATTAGCGTTCAGCACTTCCATACCTTGCTTGCCTGTCTACCCAGTCACCTCTGAGAGGCCTGCTGCTTCTAGTGCAGTTACTTCAACAAAAAAGGACTGTTAACTAAGTCTGTGGCAAGGTGATTCTCAAAATACTGTGGTTTACATTTCACTTGACAGATTTTATGCTTTTTCTTTTCCTACCTTTCTTCATTGAGATGCTTACACTTTTGAAGGGTGTCTTTCCAAAATCACCCTTATACTGCTGGTTTGGGTTGGGTGTTGGGTTTTTTTTCATTTGTGATAGATGCTTTTTATAATATTTTTTAAAAATTGATGGGTTCCAGGTGATTATTCCGAGTCTCATACACTTTATCTCTAGCCTGCCTCCGTGCTGTTTGCATTAAATCTTTTTAGCTGTTTTTTGAAATTTTCTTTGAACTAACTACCTCATTTTTACCTGCTTGCTCTCTGAAAGTGAAGTATTACTGCAGAGGGGTTTTTTTTGTCCTTTTCCTTCTCAACAAGTATGTTGGCTCCATCCATAAGTGGTTCTCTGATAACTGCTTCTTTAATCGGGCCCTGTGTTCTGCTCAGAACTAAATCAGCTTTTCTTCTCAGTGGTTGTCTGGTTACTTGCTACAAGCAGAAATCATTTACAGTATGCGAAAGCTTCATTTCTTCCGTCCCTTCCCGATTTAATGCTGCGTGTTGGAGCACATGGAATTTGCATTACTGTGTAAAGTCTCTGCGCAGCCGATGTAATTTTGCTTACCGTGTTGCATTTACATCCCCATCTCCATCGCGTGGTCGGCAGTGCAGCCCTAGCCTTAGACTCTCCCTAGTCAGATGTGAATTCTGTCAAGAGTTGCTTTTTCTTTTTTACAAAATAAAAAGATCATTTTTCTTGAGATTCTCTGAGTTTGGGAAATTTGCTCAGATTCAACAAGCTGCTGAATATCTATTTCCAAATCTTTCCTGACTGCAACTTCTGTTGTTTCCAGTGTTCTTCTTCTGCCTTTTTTTTTTTTTTTTTAGCCAGTAAGATATCATTATACCTTTTCAAGCTACAGCTCATGGAATACCAGACCATTCTAGATTATACTCCAGTCATAGCTTTAACCTTATAGAATCACAGGATGGTTTGGGTTGGAAGGGATCTTAAAGATCATCTGGGTTGGAAGGGACCTTAAAGATCATCCAGTTCCAACCCCCCTGCCATGGGCAGGGACACCTTCCACTAGACCAGGTTGCTCCAAGCCTCATCCAGCCTGGCCTTGGACACTTCCAGGGATGGGGCATCCACAACATCTCTGGGCAACCTGTTCCAGTGTCTCACCACCCTCTCCGTGAAGAATTTCTTCCTGATATCTAATCTAAACCTCCCTGATTTCAATTTGTACCCGTTACCCCTTGTCCTATCACTACAGGCTCTTGTAAAAAGTCCTCTCCCAGCACCCTTGTAGCCCCTTCAGATACTGGAAAGCTGCAATGAGGTCTCCTCGGAGCCTCCTCTTCTCCAGGCTGAACAAGCCCAGTTCTCGCAGCCTTTCGTCATAGGAGAGGTGCTCCAGCCCTCTGATCATCTTCGTGGCCTCCTCTGGACTCGCTCCAAGTGGTCAATATCCTTCTGATATTGAGGGCTCCACAGCTGGATGAAGTAGATGAAGTAACCTTCATCTACAGCTGTTTTCCGTATGCTTCACATTTTAACTCAACGTGAGCCGTTCAGGAGAACCCAAAACAATTTTCCCCAGCGTTGTTGGTGAAAGACACGGCGCACTCTGTTCTTTGCTGGCACTAACCATATTTCCGCATTTGTTGCCCACATAGCATTTATTTTATATTTTCACTCCATCTTATTGACTATTTTGTGATTACATTTATTCCCTTGCGCTGCCACACTCTATGGATAGGTTGTTCGGCAATATGTTTTGACGCTCGAAGTGAACTTACTGAATTTCTCTACACTTGGTATTGCAAGACAGCTTTTCTCCTCAGCATTGTATGTGAGTCTGACAGCACTAGCCCGTTTCTTCCTCCTGTTGTGTAGATCATGCTTGGCACTCAGTTCCATGCTCCATCAGCCAGAGCTGTCTAGGATTGTGCTGGGCTGCCATCCATCAAAGGCTGTTCTGCTCTGCCAGTCCCTCCACAACCAGTAACCTGTACCAGCAGTGCCTGACGCTCGACAAAACCCACCTCCTGGCTGTTCCATGATGTTCCTAATTCACCGTTCAACATGACACAAAGGACTGACCACCAGGACACGGGGAACATCGGTGGTTTTTCTCAGTCAACAGTGAGGCAGATAGACTCAATCAGTTTGCGGAAT